ACAAGCTGGCCGTGAGGAGCTAGTTGGTCTCATCACAAAGTACCAAGCAATCTTTTCAAAAGACAAGCTCGACTGTGGGAAAGCTGCTGGCTATCTTCACCGGATCCGAGTGGTGGATGGAAAGCCGTTTAGGCTCCCATGCAGGCGTGTACCGCCCACACAGTATGAAAAGCTGCGGCAGGTGTTGGATGAAATGGAGGAGAAAGATATCATCCAGAAGTCCAGTAGCGAGTTTGCTTCTCCGCTCGTGCTGGTCTGGAAAAAGTCAGGGGAGCTAAGAGTTTGCAATGACTTTCGTTGGCTCAATGCAAGGACAGTCAAAGACGCACACCCACTACCTCATCCTGCAGATGCCCTCGCAGCACTGGGTGGCAACGCCTTTTTCTCAACTATGGATCTCACGTCAGGATATTACAACATTGAGGTGCACGAGGATGACAGGAAATACACCGCGTTCACGTCTCCTTTTGGGCTGTATGAGTACAACAGGATGCCGCAGGGTTTATGCAACAGCCCGGCGACGTTTATGAGGATGATGCTGAGCGTGTTTGGAGATCAGAACTTCCTTAGTCTCCTGTGCTACCTGGATGACGTGTTGGTGTTTGCCCCCACTGAGACTCTGGCGCTGGAAAGACTTGAGATGGTCTTCAGACGGCTCAGTATTAACAACTTAAAACTAGCCCCAAAGAAATGTCATTTTCTGAGGCGATCGGTGAAATTTCTGGGGCACGTTGTGACTGCAGATGGCATCACCTCAGATCCAGAGAAAGTAGCTGCGATCACATCGTTGACTGAAGCCGATGTGATGGAGGGCCAATCAAGCATTCCATCGCCACAAAAGATCAGGTCCTTTTTGGGAATGGTAGTGTTCTACCAGCAGTTTATTGAGGGGTGCTCTTCCCTGGCCAAGCCGCTCTTTGGGTTGGTTTCTGGTGTGAAAGGTCCCCGTGGAAGAGGAAGGAAACGTTGCAAAGAGCGGAAAGCACTACAAGCAAGTGACTGGACAGAGGAGTGTCGGCAGTCATTCGTTAAGCTGAAGCAGACTTTGTTGGACCAAGTCATTTTGGCGCATCCAGACTTCGAGAAGCCCTTCTTGTTGTCTGTAGATGCATCGACGAGCGGTCTTGGGGCTGTATTATCACAAGTACCAGAAGAGGGCTCGACTGCCAGACCCATTGCTTTCGCAAGCAAGTCCCTCAGTCACGCACAGTCTAAATACCCAGCGCACAGGCTGGAGTTTTTTGCACTAAAGTGGGCGGTGTGTGATAAATTCCACCATTGGCTGAGAGGGCATCCCTTCACAGTCTGGACAGATAATAATCCCCTGACATATATCCTGTCTAAGCCCCGTCTAGATGCCTGTGAACAGCGGTGGATTGCAAAGCTGGCGCCTTTCAGTTTTGACATCAGGTACATCCCCGGTCCCCAAAACATTGTGGCTGATGCCCTCAGCCGGGAACCATTTGTTCACAGAACAATGTCTCGGAAGTTGATTAGGGTGGCATACAAAGATCTCTTGGCGGAAGCGGCAGCAGTGTGTGCTTATGGGGTGCAGGAAGCCTTTCGTTGTTCAGCCCATCCTGGAGACAATGGCATGGGGAAGGGCGACCCAGCAACATCAGGGAGTGTAGCTGCTGTGGTGACGGGATCGCTAGCAGCTGAGGAAGTCTCTGCAGTCCTCCAGGCATGTGAGCAGCAGGAGCCAAGGCTGTGCCGGCAAGCACTTCTCTTGCCCCATTTTCCACAAACAGTGCAGTTGCCAGATTGTTCAGGACAGACAGTAATCCCTCGTGAGGAGCTGCTGGAGAAGCAAGGTGCTGACAGTGTGTTGTGTAGACTGCTATATTATGTGCAGAGGGGACGGAGACCCTCTCGGAGAGAACGAGCCAAGGAACCAGCAGAGATCAACAAACTTCTTAAGGATTGGGACAAACTGACCGTCAGGGACGGCATACTGTATCGGGTGGCGAAGAGTGGAATAACAAAGAACAAAACATTCCTGTATGTGGTGCCATCGTCGTTGCGACTGAGAGTCCTGAAAGGAGTTCATGACGAGGCGGGACACCAGGGCCAACAACGAACAGTGTATCTTGCACGCCAGAGGTTCTATTGGCTTGGACTGTACAGGGATGTGGTGGAGTATGTGCGCCGCTGTAAGCGATGTGTTGTGGCTAAGTCACCGGATCCAGAAGCCAAAGCTCCATTGGAGAGCATAAGGACATCTGAGCCACTGGAGTTGGTTTGTGTAGACTTCTGGTCCGCAGAAGACTCTTCCAATAGGTCACTGGATGTGTTGGTGGTCACCGATCACTTTACTAAGATGGCTCATGCATTTCTATGCCCCAATCAGTCAGCAAAAGCAGTGGCGTACCAGCTGTGGAACAACTTTTTCTCCATCTATGGGTTCCCCAAGAGGCTTCATTCAGACCAGGGAGCAAATTTTGAAAGTTCCCTCATTGCTGAACTATTGGAAGTTGCTGGGGTTGAGAAGTCACACACAACGCCTTATCACCCCATGGGCAATGGTTCCTGCGAAAGGATGAATCGAACTCTGGGGAATTTGATTCGAACCTTACCACCAAAGTCCAAGCAGAGATGGCCCACTGCGCTGAAGTCCCTCACATTCGCCTACAACTGTACAGTTCACGAGACCACAGGTTACCCACCCTTTCTGCTGATGTTCGGACGGGTCCCCAGGCTACCTGTGGATCTGATCTTTGGCTCTGTTCTGGATGTCCCAGATGTCAAAGATTATGACCGCTACATCCAGTCGTTGCGGTCAGACCTGAAAGAGGCCATTGACGTGGTACAGACAACGGCGTCAAAGCAATTACAGCGTCATGCTGAGCTGTACAATAGAAAAATAAGGGGCGCTCCCGTTGAGACTGGTGACAGAGTGTTGCTGGCAAACAAAGGAGAACGTGGTAAAAGAAAACTCGTCGACCGCTGGGAGGATGTGGTCTATGTGGTGACTGGAGTACAAGAGGAAAGCCACACGTTCAGGATCCAGGACCCATCCACTGGCCGAGAGAAGGTGGTCCACCGCAATTTGATCATGCCAGTAAACTTTCTCCCATTGGATGTTCCGGTCCCAGAGGACGAGGTTGAGAACTTGTCTGTTACTGATCTGGATGAGGTATCTGTGGACATGTCAGTGGATTCGTCTGATTATAGGACCAGAATGTGGGTGTCTGGATTGCCATCTGTATCAACTGGACAGTCTGTAGCCGAAGAGCTGCACCCAGTCACTGCTAAGGTTCCATTGGGAGTTGGTGGTGACGTCCCCCAGCTTGATACGCCATCTGCGTCTGATGGCTTGGAGTCCATGGAGGAACCTGGACAGAGTCATGGATCTGTTGGATCTGCAGAGGAGGGGTCAGGTGGACCCAGAATGGAGGATAAGAATGCTGTTGGGATGGGCTTGGAGGCTGTGACTGTTCAAGAGACTAGGGGTCATGTGATGTCTCGAGCGGGCAGGTTGTTTAAGCCAGTCAATCGTTTGATAGAAATGATGCATCAGAGGTTGGAAATAGCATCATAAGATATATTTATGTATGTTATGTGAAATGATTTCAGTTGAAATGCTGTTTTGAACTAAAAAAAAAAAAAAAAAAAGCTTTAATTGTATTTTTTTGGGAGGATGTTTCTTTTTTTTTTTGTTATATGTATGTCTTGCACGCTGGTTGTGTAGTTGTGCTGAGGTATCTTATGGGACATGGTATATGTTATATGTGTTCGGCATTTTTCGGCTCAATGTGTGGGTTGGGGTTTGGCCATCCTCTTCTTCATGCTATCCCTTGGGGGGTCTTTTTGACTGAGCAGCTGTGCCCATCTGTGTGTTACCTCAGTGATAAAAAGGTGCAAGGTTCTATGTAAAAAAAAAATTTTTTACATTGTTGGTTTTCTGTCTTGGTTATATGAAAGGATGGTGGTCATGTTTGATTTTTTTTTCTTTTTTTTTCTTTCTCCTCTTTTTGTTTTCATGGGCAAGTGGAATTTGGCAGGGGGGAATGTAACAGAGTAAATAGTGTCATTCCACTTGCCGTCAGTAAAACAGTTGAAACCGTTTACGTGCATTACGTACTAACGTGTCCAGCTGCGCTGGCGGTTAGTCAGTTTTAAGACGGAGCCGATCGAGGTAGGTCGGGTTCTATCAGCGCACGTATGTGAGGAAAACTTTCAAAGTTATTTAATACTTATGTCAGTATTTTTATTCCAACAGAGTGTGCTGTTTGATCCTACCAATCCTACCAAAAGCTAGGTTTCTGACCAGCATTCCTGTGTTGACAGATTAAATGCTGGTGTCAGCAAAAACTTCGTCTCAAGACTCTTTGTACAACACAACGCAGAGTTAATAAAGAACTGAACCTACCAGTACCAGGGCTGGTATGGTTACACAAGGTCATACCTCCCTGCCGAAGTCACAGAGTAATAACAAAATATGATGTGAACCTTCGTTTGAATTAAAAAACACCAGATGGTACCCAGACAACATCATTTCCATACATCCAGTACTGTTTTTACCCAACATTTACTTGTACCTGCTGAATTGCAGACTGCAAACACAATTGTTCCTTCACCCCTGAGCTCGTCCAGGAGCTTTGTTTGTTTTTAACATGTCCTGTGTTGTTAATCCACACAGATACAAATGCATCCTAATCAACAAACGTATGCACTGTCAACAAAAATCTGATCGTTTAAAATGCTCAACGGCCACGCCAGTCAGAGAAGCTAAGATTATAACAAAGGGCGCCTGATTTACTTTGAGGTTATATAAAAATCATACTATCATAAATAGAATAGGCTGATGGGCAGGAAATACGTAATGGACATTATTAAACATAATTATAGAGAAAGAGATCAAGTGAAATATTATTTATTCACAAGCATTCATCAGAAATCCGCTAGAATTCGTGCTGCATACTTTCTCTGAGGGTTGTAGCTCCACTGGTCTTCCGGTCGCTAGGGGGCGCCGATAGTTTCCAGCTGACAGTAAAGACGTCACTTTCGCCAAAAAACGACAAGAGGCTGCTGTTGCGCGACCCCCACCGGCTCAAACTTTAGCGGACTGGAGTCTGCCGAATAAAGAGGATGAACGCCGCTCTAAAACACTGGAAGGAGGCGGCTACTCTGATTTTAGCCGCCGGTCACAGACTCGGAGCGGACGGTTTATCGTCATTAGGGTCACGTCACCCTCCGCATCGCTCCGGCTTTAATTACGACGTGTTGCTCTTGAAACGAAGCTCGAAGAGCGGATTCATGCCCAACGCCTACGTGTTTCCTGGCGGCATGGTTGACTCCTCGGACTTCTCCAGTGACTGGTTGGACATTTTAAAATATTTTATTAACGCCCCTAGTTTTGGGCTGAGGAGTGTAAAACAGCCGGCGGAGAGTCGGCCCCAAATTTTCGCCACGGATCGGTTGAAACTCGGTTCGCCCATCCCGGGGGAGGTCGCCCTGCGGATCTGCGCGTTGCGGGAGACGTTCGAGGAGTCCGGTGTGCTGCTGGTTGTGTCTAGAAAGGAAGAAACGCGTTTGTTGAAAAGCCTTGAAGACGGTTGTGCTCAAGCCTTAACTGGTCACGATTTGTGCAGCGAAGAGCTCGAGAAGTGGAGAGCGCTGGTGATCCAAAACCCGTCCAACTTTATCCGGATGTGCAGAGAGTTGGAGGTTCTGCCCAACATCTGGGCTTTACATGAGTGGGCCAACTGGCTGACTCCTGCAGGCAGATACGGCTCCACGAGGTTTGACACCGCTTTCTTCATTTGCTGCTTACAGAAGATTCCAGCCACGCTCCAGGATGAAAAGGAAATTGTGCGCTTTCAGGTGATTGTCGTGGGATGCTGCGTAAAAATGATGCAGGAAATTAAACTAAGTGAAATTCAAAAGGGAAGTCTGTAATGTCTGTCACGTGCTTTGAAGTTATTAAGGATGGAAAATTCAGACCACCCTATACCGAGTAACATCCTCCAGGTCTTTCTGGGATCTCAAATCATTCAGAAGCCAAACCAGACAGCGAGTTCTGAATCTGCACTGGGGTGTCTCAGTTTGGCATTTCTGGAAAACCTTCGGAGGAAGAGTTTTTCTGGTCGGATAACACGAGTTAAATCACTGTGACATATCTCTGCTCAGAACTCCTCCTGTTGTTGGAGGTCTTCGCTTTACTGCCAAAGAAGATCGTGATCATAAAAAAAAAATCACATCATCACTTTTGGTCCTATGGTGTGTGGTGTGTGTAGCCACAAGACAGAAGTCTTCACGCGGACATTCCCAGGTTTGACAGAAAATCTTGCAAGTTCAAATGTTACGTTGATGTAACAAACATGGCGGAGAGGTAGCATGCAGTGCTTATTCGTCCTCTTGCTTTCTGATTGGCCACATGCCACATTCAAATGTTCTTTAAAATTGAACGGAGACCACCCGACACCTTTTGAAAGCCTGGATTTCTGCTCTGGTATGTCCAGACGTGCTATTGAGCAGACCAGAGCACTCCTAATACACCACACATGGTAGGAATTCCTGATAAGATTTATCTTTGGTGCCATTATGGTAATAAGCTGTGTCTCTAAGCCTGTAATAATTGGCATTATTATCATGCTGTGTGAATCAGGCCTGAGGCTGACACCCCACTCACACACACACAGATGAAGTTTGTTTCAGCTTGTTTTCAAAACCTTGTTCTTTTGGTAACAATCTAGATCTTATTTCCACAGGTGAGGGTTGGAACGTTGATCCATCAGTAAATTTAGAGCTTTGTCTTTTTGCTCAGCTCCTCTTGTGTCACTGTTGAGTCAAGGATCACCTTAGAGGAGCTGACACTCATCTGTGTTGTTTAAAGAAAAGATTTATGGTCGTAGTAAAGTAGGAGATTGTCTCTTAGTTCCACAGAGAGCCAAAAATGGTTATTTCTGTGGTTATTAAACCCTACCTGCTGTTGTGTTTCAGTGGTCCACACCCTCAGAGATTCTGCAGAGCTTCCAGGCCCAACAGCTGTGGATCGCACCTCCTCAGTTCTACGAGCTCAGCCGTTTGTGTCGGTTTCCTTCACTGAACGACCTCCACAGCTTTGCCTACCGGCGAGCAGCAGAGGGCTGTGAACAGTGGATGCCTATTGTTGTCCCGAATGATGAACACCACATATCTCTGCTGCCAGGTGCTGATAGTTGACTGGATTTCGTCCCATGGCTGTTCAAACCATATAATGGTGTTTAAAGGATAGACAGAGCAACTGAGATGTCACCTTTCGGTTTTTCTGCACGGACAGCTCATAATTTAGCCCGAGTTGATCTTAACAGCATTATGGAAGCTTTTCTAGTGAGATGAATGCACAGTAAATTGTTAAATGTAACAATAGAAACGCTCATTCAAAGCTACTGAGCCCTTTTCCATCTGATAAAAAATGTTAGCAGTGATGCTGAAAGATTAACCTTTTTCTGTGACTTGTTTGTTTTCCTCTTTCCAGGGGACAAACTTTATCCGCATGACTCTTCAGGCCGGACAGAGGTTGGGCATACCACAGACTCTCAGGATGACGCTGGACTGCACCGCATAGTTCTCTTAGATCCGTACACCGTGAGCCTCCAGGTCACCATCAAACCCAAGTACAACCACCTGCTCCCTGTTGTGGAACCAGCCTCAACACATATCTCAGAAAGTCACCTTTGACCTGCAACTTGCCTCTTCCTTCTCATTTTTCCAGCACATGAAAGAAGCAGATTAGCTGTTTAGCTAAATAAATTCAATATATTAATATTTAATGTCATGTTTTAATCTTAAGCATTTTAATTCTGCATCAAGTTATTTAATGAAACAAAGTTGGATTTTTTTATTTTTTATGAAAGTCCTATATCTTCATTTGACTTATAAAAGGACACACGATGGTTGGGAAAACCTTAATACTAGGCTTTAAAAAGTGCGATATGATGTTATCTTAGCCTGTGTTAAAGACTTTTTACAGGCTTGCCATAGGAAGGGGGGGGGGCGGTCAAAACCTTTACGGCCAGCTTCACAAACTTTAAAACATTAAAGTGACTATGTGCATTTTTACCTTTAATTTCTGGAAATATCCATAGAAATGTTGAAAATGAGTAAAATGATGCCCAGTTGTTGAAAAATATTGACGACTTCGTAACACAACCATAAAAATCGGGTCTGAAGAACATAGGGCAGGGCTATCCAATTCCAGGCCTCGAGGGCCGGTGTCAGGCACGTTTTGGTTTTAACTCTGCTTCAACACACCTGATTTCAATCAGCAGGTGATTAACGGATAGAGCCTGAAGAGCTGCTGCACAGGTGATTCAACCACTTAATCAAGTGTGTTGGAGCAGAGAAACCACTAAAACGTGCTGGATACTGGCCCTTGAGGCCTGGAATTGAATAGCCTTGACATAGAGCATGGATCTAGTGTCTTTGGGGGACACCATGTTTCATTCTGGCCGGCTCAGGGTACTGCGCCTGTTGATGACATCACACTAGATGATTGGCTGGATAATAGATATATGACTTACGTTACCAGTTAGAAAACATTTTTGAATTTAATAACGAAACTCTTCCCGAACATGTGAAAGTCGAAAAAATGCAATATATTTTGGCCAAGTGGTATTGCCGTTGTTTGATGACGTCATCGGCAGGCACAGGACTCGAGCAGATCCGGAAAGTACGCCAGAAAACTTGCATCAGCATTGCATTCTCTTGATGGAGTTAACTGAAGGACCATCAAGGTCTGAGGAGTCATGCCACGGTGGCATGCCCCCTGCTCCACATGTAGCAACATTTACCATAATGTCTTTTGAACTAGTGGCAGTCGTGTCAATTATACCCTGAAGTGTAGTTACTGCCCCCTAGAGGCAGGAAACGACACATAGTGCTTTATGTAATAAAAGAAGCTGTTTAAAAAGGACTTTTGGGGAGAAATGTCTTATTTTTTATAACTCATACCTGTAAACTCTTCACCAATATGGTGATCACATGAATCATATGTGTGGGGTTGATTTTAGTTGCCTTTTCAAGCCTGAGTTTGCAGGTATAACTTAAAGCCCACCATTTCTGGCTTGTCTCTTTTTGTGGTCCAGTGTCACTTTTAAATTAAACTATTTCATTCACACCTCAAGAACGCTGGTGCCATTCTTCCTTTAATTAGCTGATCTGGAAACAAGATTGTTACCAATTATACCGATATAAACTATAACTGGTGCAGCTTATTACTGGTGCATAGTCTTAGTTTTGCTGTCATGGAAACAAGATTTTTTTATTTTTTAACCATGAAAAAAAAAATCATGAAATTTGTTCTTTGGAGATTTAAGTTGACAGTAAATTCCTGCAGGGCTGAACATGTCTGTGGAGGTTTTGCTTCTTAAGTGTCCACTTCCTGACCATCTGGTGTAGAAAGATTATATCATCATTTTGATATTAGACATCATGCACGTAGATTTGTTTTCTTTATATAAACATTTGACAGATGCAGACTCAACCTTCTTGTGGATTTTAAACAGGTGTTGCAGCTCTGTCTAAGCGCAGCTGTATAAGCTATAAAGATGCAGTGAGTGTAAGTGCACTAAGGCTTTTAAAACGGCATCAGCAGGTTTTAAACCACGAGGAAAGTCACTGAACACTTTAATATCTCATCAGACTGGAGCCCTGCATGCTTTAATTTGCAGATTTGTGATAGCATCAGTTGCTGTGGATTTGTCAGATGCACATCTATGATGATCTGTTCCACCCATATGTCAATGGTTCCACCACATATAGCACAGTCGTGTCCAAGAAACCAGATTAAGATGATTTTTGAGCAAAGAGCTAGGCTGACTGAATGGATCTGTGGTGCCTAAATCAGTTCCTGACAACCAGCTGGAAGTCATCAGACCAGGAAATGTCCCGACGCCTGTTTGGGGCCCTGGGGGGGCGGCGGCCCCTGTTCTGCCCCGAGGATCCCCTGGGCAGTGCCTGACCTGCCCCCGAGCGTCTCCAAGTCCCTGCCGCAGCCGTGGTCTGCTGGGTGACCTGCAAGGGGGCGGCCGGACGAAACCGGCGCCGAAGATCCCGTGCCCCTCGTGGCCTGACTGTGGCACAGGGAGGATCCCTGCCCCGCTACGCCCACTCCAGGCCTCTGCGGCCTGTCTGAACTGCCGCCGACGTTCCAACGCCCTCTCGGGCTCGAACAACTGGCCCGGCACCACGGGCAGTCCGCGCAGGCTCTGTCGGCAGTCATCCGACACCGGGGCCTGCGCCAACCAGACCTGACGGCGAGCCACTACCAGTGTGCCCAACAACCAACCAAGCTCCCTGGACATCAGCCCAAACGCTTGCAGGGCTGCGTCGTTTGTATCGCCCAGTTGGTCTCATTCCTGGTGATCCAGTCGTTTAGAAACTGATAAGGTGTACCTAATGAAATGGCCAGTTATTGTTTAAGTGCATAAATTCTGAACATCCTCGTGGCATCAACTGTCATTACATTTAAGTGCACATTTGGCACATCACGTGACTGATGAGATGTGTGAATTCTGACAGACAAAAGTCTCTCCTCCAACACATCTTATTTATCTATTTTGCTTATTGTATTGTTTTTGTCCCCTTGTTGATGCTGTCTCTGTCTGTCCACAGACTTGCTGAAGCAGAAATAGGGCGAGTTGAAATAACACGTCTCAACCTTCTGTGCTGTTTGCAGTCTTTGAAGGGTTTCTATGGAAACCCACATCCTTGGAAACCCATCATCCAAGTCCAGATGAAGCGATGGTGCAGTGGTGTGTCCGTGCCCTGTGGGCAGCACGCATCTTTGTGCAGAATGAGTGTTTTTAAATGGTTAAATTATAAGAAAATTCTCAAAATAACCGAAGAGGAAGTCTCGCGTCTGAAACGATCGTGTTAGAAAAGTGCTTCAGAACTTGGATGCTGATGCTGCACCAGCGTCCCTCAACATTTTGAAGCCTTTGGAGCATTTTAAAAAATCCTCCTTTTGCATAATTTATTGCCTTCATAATTATTTGAGTAGCTTGAAAACAACGTAAGTCTGTTGCGAATTTGAAGTGGAGGTTCATGACTCAGTGTCAGCAGAATGTGTGAAGAGACAACAAGGATAAACAAGATGTCTGAAAGCTTTCTGTGACTCAGATCTGAACACAGCAGACACTGATCGTAATGCATCAAAGCCCTGCCAACAAATCCAGCCATCACCGCCGCCTCAGAGACGGATCATTTTACAATGGTCCGTCAGCGTCGACCTGCAGGATTCCAGCCGTGAAAGGCTGACGAGAGGAAACACAGAAACAAAAGCATCTCGGCTCCAAAACGTCATATTTGATGTTATTGTTTTATCCGAATCTACACTTTATCCTTTGAAAAACTTGATTTAATTAAAATTGATGTATATTTTACTAGCTTTTAAAGTATTGCTATGTCTTTATCTTAGGACTTTCACCCATTTTCTTCATTTTAAGTATTTTTTCCACCAGAACAGTTTCTTCTTGTTGTCAAAACTTCATTCTGTTTTGTTAGAAACACAAATAAATATTTACTCTAAAAACACGGTCCTGATGAAACCCTCTTTAGACCAACAACAAAATCTTTTATTTGCAGATCTGTGTTTGTCTACATCATAACTATTCAAGCTAAATTAGCTGTTCTTTTACTGGTTGACACCAAACTGTTGGCCCAACCCAAGGGTAGTCACAACTCTGATCCCATGTTGATGCTTTTGCTCATTTTCTGCCTACTTAGAGGATTTGGTTGTCTGTAATTAAATCAGATGCCTTTATGTTACACTCAGCCTTTAACTAAAGCTAATTGGACCCTAAATGTCAGGAATCTGCTTTTCAATTAGAGGAGAACACCCTCAAGAGCTAATTGGTAGCTGTTTGCATCTGCTAGGGCATCATTTGAACATCAAAGTGCTGTTTGAACAGGCCGTTGTGTGAAATTATGGTAGAAAAAGGAAGAGATGATGACCTGAATGTCAGATGGATTAAACACCCGTTCAACCTGAAAATCGGAGGGAATCCTTTTAAACCTGCTAACAAGATAAAATATACAGTTTTTAAAGGCTGGAGAAAATTTGAGTTTTTTTTTTCTTTAAGTGTTAAATTGTCTGTATTTGTTATAGCGCCTTCTAGTATCCTAGAACCCCCCAAGATGCTTTACAACAAAATCACACACATTCACACGCAGGTGGTGATGAGCTACAATAGCCACAGCTTCCCTGTGATGCATCGACAGAGGGGGGCTGTTCTAGGCTGGTGCCCACCGCCAGCAGGCAAGGTGGGTTAGTGTCTTACCCAAGGACACAACAACAGAAACAGTCTGAGCTGGGCTCCAACCAGCAACCTTCCGATTACGGCAAACTCTTAACTCCTCCACCACCACAAAAGTGTGTTTTTATATAATTAACAACTCACTTTTGTTTAACTGTACGCTTTTTATTCAAATCTTTGCTTATTTTATTTATTTATTTATTTATTGCATATTTGTTACACTGGCTACAAATGATGAAGTCAAATAAAAATAAGCAAAGCAAAAAAATCCCGACTTTCTCACTTTTTTTGGTCCAACTTGGATGTTTTCTCGAAATGAACATTTGACTGCCTACAGCCTATTCATTGTATTGTATTTATTTATTAGCTTATATGTTATATTTTTATTTCCCTTAGATATTTTGCATTAGGTTGTAGCCATTTTAAACAGAAAGCATTTTTTAAAATAAAGAAGCTCAAAAAATTAAAACTACATCTAAAAATAAGCAATGACACTTAAATCACAATCTGCAAAAAGCAAGTTAAACCTTTTAAAATATTATTGTGAAAGAAGCCAATTTCCTCTTTAGAGGATGCAAAGTCCCAGGAGGATGTGCATTCATTATTTGTTGTTTTATTAGATTTACCTTTGTGCTAAATGCATCTATAGTCTTGATGCTTAACCCAGTTTGCATCAATACCATCTCCGTTCTTGCAGCAGACTAATGCTCTCCTGAACTCTCTTTGTGCCAGTCCAGAAATACCTTCAAAGACTCTTACGGCTAAAACTATTAGAGCCAAAGCTTCAGTGTCACTCTCCTTTAACACAAATTCACCACTAAGGCTGTTAGGTCTGAGAATAATCTCCTGCTCAAAATACCTCTAAGTGCATCAGCTGTGTGCATCTCCAGCTTTAGTGTTTACAGGCTAGGTCTGGAGCTTAGACCCAATGACCGGCCTGCTGTGCAGAAATGTCCACAGCGTAAAATGACTCTGTCTTCAGGAGTGTGTTTGAGCGTTATTTAATAAATAGAATTGATCGTATGTACATGATCTGGCTCAGCAGCATACAAATCTTCATTTGTGTTGCGATACATTCAAAACAGCGAGAGAACCCTGAAAGAGAGACAAGAACTGGCTTCAGTGAGCAGGTGCTGTGTTAAAACAGGTCCAAAGAGCCTCGTGCAGCACACGAGAACCTCAGATTAGAGGGTCCCGGTGTGCCAGCCGGGTTACTGATGATTAGAAATGTGTTAAATCGTGCAGATTTGATCATTTACATCCGTGATGATGAGGAGTAAGCCCTAGCACGTTTGACTGATTGGATTCGTACATCTAAAGCATCAGTCAGCTGAACGGGGATACCGCATGGCTAGATTTACACTTGGTCTTTTTTTTTTACCTCCACACCTAATCCACACGGATTAGGTGTTCGGATCATCAAGGTGATAGCCAGACACTGTGAGATCATTTTAGCACTTTTTATGTATCCTCCCAAAAATAAAGTAACGACCTATTCCTCCCATCAAAAGCACCTTTTTAGGATCTATGTCCACCAGTCACTATAGTAGACTATCATCAAGTGCAATATTCCTGAACCCAGCAGAATACATTCAGAATTGGGATTGTCTAACTTTGACAACATCTTCCTCCTAGACATCTCCTCTCCGGTAGTGAGCTCCCTGCTCTGCTGTTTGTCCATCCGGGCTGCTCAGATACACTTCACGACATGTTGATAACTAAATATCCTAAAACCAAAGCCACCCCGACGATAACAAAGAACACCACCACGGCTCCGACGGACGCGGATCTCCCCTCCCTGGCGCCTCCGCTTTCATCATCCTTGGGCTCCTCCTCGCAGATGGAGATGACGCCAACGGAGGAATTTCCCACGCTCATGTTGGACTTGAGCTCGGCTCCTGCTTCCTGCTTGGCCACGACTGCCCACGGTGCCACCTGCACTTTCATCTCCATCTCCTCCACCATCTGGGTCACCTGCGTGATCTCGGTCTGCAGGTCCCGGAGGTCCGCCGTATCGATGTTACTGTCGGCCTCGTACTTCATGTTCTGGACGCTCATGGCCCGGGCTGCCACCGCGTTGGTGCTACCTGTCATCCCCGTCTGGATGAAGTGCCTCGTGGGCACCTTGATGGGGAATTCCTGCCCTATCTCCAGGGAGCGCTTCATATCCACCTCCAGGAGCTCCATGCTGCTGGAGAACAGCACCCACAGGCGCTCGTACTCGGCGCGGTCCTCCTTGCTGATGCTCTTGTCTTTGAGCAAGGAGGTCAGCTTAGTCCTGTTGGCCACGGCCAGCTCCTGGGCTTTTTTACGGGTCTTCTTCAGCTCTTCTCGCAGGTTCTGGGAATCCGATGTGCTTCCTAAAGCGATGACCAAGTGCCTGTAGCAGGCTGTGACTTTGTTTAAAGCGTCCAGCATGGTTTTGCACTCCTCTTTCCCCATGTTTGAGTTAAAAATATTGTATCCTATTAAAAAAGGTGGAAAAATAATCAAAAAGAGGTGGGAATTCGTGGAAAAGCGGTGAAATGTTTCAATTTAGTTTCCACAAAAGCGCGCTGGACGCGCTGAACCTACTCCAGCCAAAGAAAACGCATCTCTATCCATGCTCCCACCTGTGTGAAGGCAGCCACCAGAGAGCGGCTTAGAAATTAATGCTTCCGTCACCTAAATGGCTTTAGGTTACATTTAAGCTTCCCCGACACGAGATCAAACCTCCCGGGGCCGGTCCCTCTTCAGGACGGACACAATCCCACCTCCAGCGCTCCAGATCCAGCTACAGGTGCCCCACCATCCACCCGCCTTCTAATTGCGCCGCTCTCTCTTTCTCTCTCTCTCTTTGTCCGTCTAAAATGACTCCATTGTTTTAAAAAAATGACGCGCAGCTGGATGAAACTGGTTCTTCCCTCAGTAAAAGGAGAGAAGAGTCCCAAAGCGGCTGAAAGAGGACGCCAAACGAGCCATGGTGCTTCGGTTCGGTGCTGTTTATCTGCGCGGGGAGCTGTCCACTTCAGCACCCAGAGAGCGCCTTCAGTGGTCACATGTGCGCACAAAACCAGAGCCATTCAGGGACGGGCGCAGAGATAGAGGCAGGCAGGCAAACAAAGCAGCTGCGCAGTCATTGGTCTGATCTGCTTCAGATGCCTCCTATCATTGGCTGATTCCTCCCTGGAGTGGGAGAGCTGGGATGTCCATCAGCAGGGATCTCCTTCTATCCTCAACTATTTGTCTTTTTAGTCATACAAGATTCAGATGAGCTCCGAGGAGATCAAAAAATAGCCCAGTCTGTGATGAAACAGACCCAGCCCTCACTTTAGGTGATTAGCTTTAAACAGTTTGATGAAAGTCGATGATTTGGGGAATTGTGGCACCTGCCTGCACACACCGTTAAGCCATATGAGGATGCCAGTTGTCGCACGCATTATTGGCCACTGTGCTGTTGAGTTGGCTCCTGCTGTGCTGAGAGCTGGTGTGGTGTGTTTGCCTGGTTTGCTCTTTTTGCATTATTGAAGCGGGTGGAGCCTAATGATCCAGTGCTGCAGCTTAAAGCTAATGGACTCAAGCAGCAACTGGTTTCTGGAAAATGTTTGTTATTATTATTTCTTTTTTATGCACATATTGGGTTAATTGCATGTTCACGTGGCTGTGACGTTTGCTGCATAATATCTTACAGGGATTATTTTTTGCAAGAATAGGAAGCCATTAAATCCTGCTCTTTACTGCTGAAAGCTAAACGTGACTGATTTCTTGTAACACGATTGCTGAGATGTTGGATTCGAGTGTTGGGAATGAGTCAGACCCACCTTGGGCTCTCAGAGTTAACTCATCGAAAATTCAATTTGTGAATTTCCTGAGCAGATGCCCTTTGTGGTTTTCTGGTTCTCAGACAGGTAACAGAGATTCATCAGGTTAGACACACATTTACACCCTGTGTAGACTAAAAACAAATGATTAATAAGGAACATCTCACTTTGATTTGATTATGTTGTTTTCTTGCATTTTTAGGCGAGAAAGCAGTTTTACAATGAAAGAAAGACCAAATAAGTCATTGGTTCTGGTATTGCTGAGATGAAAAATGTGGCAAATCTAAATTTCTCTGAAAACTTAAAGCTGTTTCTTCAGAGTCAAAAGGACTTTGGCCTTCTTTAAAGCTGTTAACAAGCAAAGATGATTTCATTTCAAATGAACAATGGTGAGTTCAGGTCTGTAGGATGTGGTTACGCCCTCTGGCTCAGGAACAGAGGATTTGGGATATGTTTGTGTTTTTTCTTGTTATATTTGTACCGTGTTTTAGAGAAAAAGTCTAAACACAATAGGTATTTTTATTCTTTCTGTTTACCACTAACAGAAACTGAAAACTTGGCTCACAGATGCTTACTTAAACGGGAACTAGGCAGTTTTGGCTCACGTTTAGCACCCCCTAGTGTCCAAAACCGATCTCCTCGCTGTGCGTTTGTCCTTTTACCCCTGAAATGTCTCCCCAGCCTTTATTGGTGTCTAGGAGTGATTTGTCACTAATTTAAACAAATCAGATGTGTTGAGAATTTTAAATGTGCTGGAACAAGACTGCAGGTATGTCAGCTCAATTTCTTAAAGTCCCAACAGAGCAGCTGCCAGTCTGAAAATGCAAGTGAAATATTCTGACCACAGGAGGTGATAGGGGCTAGGTGACCTTCCATCAAGCCTGTAAAGCAGGAGTGGGGAACCCTGGTCCTCGAGAGCCGATATCCTGCTTGTCTTTGCTCCAACACTTCTGATTCAGTGGTTGGTTCACCTGCTCTGCAGCTCATCAAGCTCCGCAGAAGATTGTTAACCACCTGTTGAATGAAATCAGGTGTGACAATGCAGGGTTGAAACTAAAATATGCTGGATAGCGGCCCTTGATGGACCAGGGTTCCCCACCCCTGCTGTAAAGGGTCATTTTAGCATGAAATTATGAAAAAGCTGCTAAGTATCCCTTAAAACTCATAAGAACACGATGCACACCAAAACTTTATTTCTTTGTCCGACAGCACTGAAAATAAAAATATATATTCAACCAAGGCTTATGTAGAAAAACTCTCAAAACCTAAACAAATTTCCTGAGAAACACAACGACAAAATTAGACCCCTTGGAATGGAAATAAAAATATATTTTATCTTTTCTTTTCTCATTTTAAAGATAATTCCTGTTATGCCTTTTATTTATAAATGACTTTAAGCTTTTGGGAGTCCCTAGGACGAGTGCTAGATAGTGCTCCATCAGGGGACTCCATTGTCCTGCTGGGGTGCTTCAATGCTCACGTGGGCAATGACAGCTTGACCTGGAGGGGTGTGATTGGGGGGAACGGCCCGCCTGATCTGAACTCGAGTGGTGTTTCGTTATTGGACTTCTGTGCAAGCCGCAGTTTGGCTATAATGAACACCATGTTCGAACATAAGGATGTCCATCAGTACACTTGCTACCAGGGCAGCCTAGGTCACAGGGTTATGATAGACTCTTTGTAGTCGTATCATCTGACCTGCTGCCATATGTTTTGGACACCCGAGTGAAGAGAGGAGCGGAGCTGTCAACTGATCGCCACCTGTTGATGAGTTGGATCAGATGGCTGGGGAAGATGCCGCGCAGACCTGGCAGACCCAAACGCATAGTGAGCGTCTGCTGGGAACGCCTGGCAGAAGAACCTGTCAAGACGGTCTTCAACTCCCACCTCCGGCAGAGCTTTGACCGTGTCCCGAGAGCAGTGGGGGACATTGACTTCGAGTGGGCCTTGTTCCACTCTGCGATTGTTGAGGCAGCTGTTGCTCGCTGTGGTCGCAAGGTGGCCGGTGCCAGTCGTGGTGGCAACCCCCGTACCCGCTGGTGGACACCAGAGGTTCGGGGAGCCATCAGGCTGAAGAAGGAGGCCTACAGGGCGTGGCTCGTCTGTGGGTCTCCGGAAGCAGCAGACAGGTACCGGATAGCCAAGCGGGCTGCAGCAGTGGCAGTTGCCGAGGCAAAATCTTGGGCGTGGGAGGAGTTTGGTGAGGCCACGAAGAAAGACTATCGATCTGCGCCAAAGAGGTTCTAGCAAACTGTCCGGCGCCTCAGGAGAGGGAGGCAGCAACTCGCTCACACTGTTGACAGTGGGGATGGGGAGCTGCTGACGTCAACTGGGGCTATAGTCGGATGGTGGAAGGAATACTTTGAGGAGCTCCTCATTTCCGAGGAGGAGACAGAGCTGGGAGACCTGGGGATGGACTGTCCAATCTCAGGGGCAGAAGTTGCTGAGGTAGTCAAACAACTACACAGCGGCGGAGCTTCGGGGGCGGATGAGATTCATCCTGGGTATCTCAAGGCTATGGATGTTGTAGGGCTGTCGCTGTTGTCCCGTCTCTGCAACAGTGCGTGGTCATTGGAGGCACAAATATGATTAAATATTGTCGAGCTGCACCTCAAAAAAACTGCAGAACCTTTGCTATGAGACCATGCAAACCCTTTTATTTGCTCCAAACATAACAAACTACAATCAAATGAGTGATCAGAAATCCCTCATCACGTGTGAGTGTTTCTGCCACATATCTGTCCTGAACAATGCTACAAATTAAATTGTACACACATTTCAGTCACCCACCCAAAAACAGGCTTCGAACTCAAACACCCGGTCAGAATTTTCTCTTCCATTGTTCGAGAATGTCCATATTTTGACAAGTCTCATTGGCCGAGCTGCCAATCTCATTTTAGTGAGTAATGCTTCTTTCTATTTTCCTTAACGACCCAAAAGAGGTGTAATCATCCAAACGGACCAATCAGTCACGGAGATAGAAGGCTGTGTAATGTATAGCTCCAGCCTATGCCAGCAGCATTTGTTATGCACGGCGTGCAGCAGCAGTTCAAAACAACTTTATTTGTCACTGAATGACTTTACAATGTTAACAAAGATGGCTTCGAGGTTGGACAACAGAAAAGGAGTGTTAATGCTGCTATATGAGAAAAGTCAAATGGCACAGATGGTGCCACATGTGCTATTTGACACCTCATCTAAAGTGTCTGCGTGTAAACATCTGTAAAATGTTGTTCTTCACTTTATCAAACTCAAACTTTGAACAGTTACGGTGTAATATTATGAATTTGTTGAGGTTTGAAGCTACGTCTGTCTTTTTCCAAAGAGGTATTTATCCTGAAATAAACCAATTGTGGCTGCAAAAGAAAACTGTTTTACAATGTTTCATGTCCATTTGCACTTCATCAGTGACACATATACTAAGATTTACTCAATCTCAACACATCCCACAAGAGTTGCCTTTAAAGTGAGACAAAAGTTAATCTAATTAAAGTGTGGGCGTGTCATTTTTGAGCAGCTTTCTCAAAAATAGGGCCCAAAAGGCAACATCATGCTGAGTTTTCTAAAAAATATAGAAAAAATACCAAAAATTAAGGTCTGTGCTTTTAGACAGACTGATGTCCATGAATACGGACAAGAACAAATAAATCACATCCAGGCATCACAAAGGCCACATCACCACTAGATATACCCAAGTTGGTTACAGTGATCCAAGTGGTTTTTATTTTTAAAAGACGGAGTTAAACAGAAACATTTTACACGCCCGAGACACGCCGTGACAAACACCAAGAGCAAAGTATTACTGTGAGATAAGCAAACACATCTGCACTCTCAAGACTGATGGCATAAAATCAGACAAATTATAATCTAGATTAATAGGTTTTTGCAGGTCCTGGGATTAGCAGTGTAATGCACACTAATGTGTCTTTTAATGGAAGCTTTCATCTGTCTGGATTGCACTTTCATCGTATAGAATCAATGGTATTTTTAGGCAGTGAAGTGGAGCTGGCTGGCACACATTAAACCCCGCATGGAATATCTCTTTAAAGTGGAACCTTGTAAAAATGTTTTCTCTTCATGGGTAAAAGCTCTTTCATGACTTGTCAGATCTTTCTGATTATCCAATGGAAACTGCTGCAGTAGAAAAAGCCCAGACAGCATTTTGGCTTTGCACTAACCGTCTGTTAATAATAAATTTATAAACAGAAGAATGTACATTTTATTTTGTCTATTAAAGGGGTCATATTATGCAAAACTCACATTTTTGCAATCTTTTGT